AAAAAATAAAAATTTATAACTTGATTTAAAAATTTAAGTTTATATGTTTATATGTTTAAATAGGAAACATGACAAGATTGGTATGGTTATTTGTACTTTAAAAAAAAAATAAAAAGGCCCAAAGGCACAATGCCACCCATAAATAAGACAGAAGAAAAATGAAAATAAAACCAAACTCAAGAGGCAAAGCTTTTACTCTCTCCTCTGGTATCATATTCATTCATGGCAACTCAGTCTCTTTCTCTTTCGCTTTCCCATTTCTTCTTTCTCTTCTTCCTCACATCTCTCTCCCCTGTTTCTTCTCAATGCAAGCACCCGCCCATTATTTTCAACTTCGGCGATTCCAACTCCGACACCGGCGGTCTCCTGGCCGGACTGGGCTTCCCCGTCAATCCCCCTTACGGCCGTTCCTTCTTCCGCCGATCAACTGGACGGTTGTCTGATGGACGGCTCCTGATCGACTTTCTCTGTAAGTATACACTTTCTTCCTTTCATCCTTTGGGAATCAACACTCAAAAAGTATGCATATTCAACGGCTGTGATGAAATGATCATATATAGTAGTATAAAAATGTGCATTAATGCTGCGGACCCCCCCATACCAGTAGACATGATAATGGGTCCAGCTCTTCTTTCCAGACGGTGCCAATCTGTCCTCGTTTTCTGCTCCCATTTATTCCATTGATAATTGTCTGGTTTTGATTGTATTCGTATTTTTACAATACAGTACAACATATATAGATACGTATAGTCTTACACAAAATTGTTTGTTGTTTTAACATTGTATTAAACTGTAAAATTATTTTTGTAAACAAAACATGCTTGTTTAAGTAAAGTCTAACAGTATATTTATATTCTATGTGGAACTGTAATAGTTGTTAAGAGCTTGTATCTTCTTGTTATCACATATGAATCTGCTTTATTCCATGGTCATTCATTAGCGACAGACTCTATTAGTCAGCAAGTCTAGATATTATTAAGAAAAAAAAGATTGCAAATTTGAGTGCATTGGTTTTTTTAGAAAACAATATATAAGAGATAATACCCTTTTGGGGGTGCACTGACATGGATATGAAATGTTGGATCCCGAAGATCTAATAATATACTATAAGAATCAATTTTTCTCTCTTGTGTTTTTTTTTTAATTGAATGTTGTATTTATATTTGCAGACCAGAGCTTGAATGCAAGTTTTTTAAGCCCATATCTAGACTCCTTAAGCGGGTCCAAGTTCACAAATGGTGCAAACTTTGCAGTTGTAGGGTCCTCTACCCTCCCAAAATTTATCCCTTTCTCTTTGAACATTCAGCTCATGCAGTTCCTTCATTTCAAGGCCAGAACTCTTGAGCTTGCTTCTTCTGGTGAAGGTAAAATTTTTGCTTACATTATTTACATTGATTGAACTCAAGGTTAGAGATGACTATATATATCAGCCTGGCTTGAGTTTGGACTTTGGATCCATTAATTCAAAAAAAATTACATCCAAAGCTAAACAATTTAGTCTATTTTTAATATTTAATTTGAATTTATATAAAAAAAGAAGATTTCAATATAAAACAATCCCATTCAAATCTGAACTTCTTACAAAAACAGGCCTAGCTAGTATAGTACCAGTAAGTTTTCAAGTCAAATGCACTAGTACTTGAGGCAGGATTATCAAAACGAGCTTGATAATAAGAGGTTGTGTTCAAATCATTTATCAATGAATGAATGGAGTCCAAGCTTGCCAATCCCAAATAATGATGTGAGACTGGATCAGTTTGTTTAGGCCCCTTGTCTTGAGCACTTGGAAATAAAGGACCCCCCACCAAGAAAATATAAATATATTTTTATGATGCCAAACTTGTTTTCTCTATTATTGTTATTTCTTATTAAACTAAGGTGCAGGGAGCTTGATTAATGAGGAAGGGTTCAAGAAAGCACTTTACATGATTGACATTGGGCAAAACGACCTTGCGGATTCATTTGACAAGAATATGTCATATGCTCAACTAACCAAGAGAATACCATCAATCATCATAGAGATAAAAAATGCTGTAAAGTCATTGTACAATCAAGGCGGGAGAAAGTTCTGGATACACAACACAGGCCCATTGGGATGTCTGCCTCAGAAACTTTGGTTGGTTCAAAAGGGAGTGTTGGACCAAGTTGGGTGTCTTTCTGTTTACAATTCTGCAGCAAGGTTGTTCAACGAAGCACTGTGGCACTTGTGCCAGGAGCTGAGGACTGAACTGGAGGGTGCTGCTATAGTTTATGTAGATATTTATGCAATCAAGTATGATCTCATTGCCAATGCCACCAAATATGGTAAGCTGACCATTCTGATTTTCTCTCTGATTTTTCAGCCCTATTTTGTGCTTGCCCATTTAAATTGTCTTGATTATTGAAATTTAGAACTATGAAACCAGTAGTGAAGGTGATGTATTGACATGCCTAAGAAACATTGAGACTAAGCCATGCTATAGCATGGAGGGTTTCAAAAATGAGACTTTCTTTATATCATTTCTTGAGTGGCACCCTTTTGGAACATTTCTAGGGATTTCTGCAGATTTCAGGTTCAAATTACTATTGGAATGGATGGGGAGGGGTTTGGGGATAAGGAGAGCCATCTCTTCCTGTTAGAAAAGGATTTTGCATTGAGAAAAGGCTGTTGAAAACATCATGGCTTACTATAACTTGGCTAAATTAAATGGTACAGGTTTCTCAAATCCACTAATGGCATGCTGCGGTTTTGGAGGGCCTCCATACAACTACAACGTTAGAGTAACATGTGGTAATCCTGGCCATGAGGTTTGTGCAGAAGGCTCTCGGTTTATAAGCTGGGATGGAATCCATTTCAGTGAAGCAGCTAACTCCATAGTAGCCTCAAGAGTACTCTCCACCGCATATTCTTCTCCACGTACCGCCTTCACTTTCTTCTGCCAGGATTGATAATTTATGATTAGGTTCATTTTTGCACAAGCAATGCAACTTTGAAGTTGTTTTATTCACTCTCTTTGTTGGTTTTGCATTAGAGAGCAGCATCTTGCTTGTACTTGTTGAAGTCAATTATCAATAAGAAATATGGGAAAACCCATATTTATGCCTTGTAACTTCCAGTCTTTATATATTAGCCCTCTAAGATTTGTTTGGTCACCTAAGCCCGCAAACTATTTCAATTTTGCTTTCAAAGCCCAAATTAGAACAAAGAAAAATATATTGTTCCACTAAATTATGTAAATGGATGCTACTTAAATCGATTAAGTAATACTATTCTAAAATAGAAAAACACATAATAAACCCCTTTTTTTTTTAATTTTAGGTTGCACAAGAAAAAATAATTTTTTATGTTCTTTATTTACCTCATTTGCTCGCTTATAATTTAAAGTAATAATATTTTATTTTCTTTAAAAAAGGTATTTACACATAAAAATAAACCAATAAAATGAGGTCATATATCGAGATTAGACCCAATCTTTAAAGAGTGTCATTAAGTTGAATTAGATTAAATTGGGCTGGATCAGCTTAGAGTTTAAGGGCCCAGATGAAATTTTAAAGAGATTGGATTTTAGGTGGCATAAAATAAGGAGTTTGATCTAAATTAGGAAGTTGAGGGGTTTTGGGAGAATGATGTTACTGGGGTTTTATTGAAGATAAGATTGAATAAAAAACTGTCAGGTTACCAGACAACTGTCAAGACGTGGAGTCCCCATTACTCAGTCATGGTGGGAGATGGTCGAAAGACATGGAGGAGGTTTCCCAACACTGAAGAAAAGGAAAATATTAGGAAAAAATTAGGACAGATGGCCTGCCCTACAAAAACTGCCCAAAGTATATCTTTTTCAACTTTCAGTATGTTTCTTCCAGATTTCAGCATAGTTGCCAAATTAAAGTGCAAGACTTGTTCTTATTCATAGTTTTAGTTTAGGTTTTTCTCATTCTTGTTTGTATTTTCTCTCAAATATTGCAACTTCGATTAGGTTTTAAGCATTTGGAAGCGATTCAACCTTAAAACAGGTTTGCTCTATTGATTTGGTTAGTTTTTTTTTCTTTTATAGATTCATTTTTGTTATTTGTTTATGTAAATAGGTTAAATGCTTTCTGCCTTCTTTTCTTTGTTTGTACACAACTACTAGACTTGCAACTTGCTTAATTTCAATTCTCAAATTAAGTTTAATTTTACAAGTTTTCAGACTTGGACTACTTCATAAATTCTCTTTCAGATTTAGCAAGCAAGTAGTTTGATTATTTTTATTTGAAATCTGTAAGTAATTAGTTTAATTACTATGGATTGCGTAGTTGAAGTAATTGTTTGCAATTTTACACAATCTATTGTCTGCAAGTTTATTTTTGTGTCATATTTTCTCTTTTATTTATTTCATGTTAGATTAATTATCTTAAAATATTGTATTTATTTTAAGATTTGTATCTTTTGTTACACTTTATTTATTTTAAGATATGATATTGTGTTTATTGTAAAGTTTTTGGAGGTATTCAAAGCAATTAGTAACTCATTTTACAGAACTCCATTTTTTGTTTTGCAACATCGTCTAGGAACGCAATTTATTTCACAAACATTCTTTATAATCATCTTTTTGGAAGTTGATTGTTGAAAAGAAAAAGGGTTATCTGGAAAATCTTGTTTCCTTGTTTTTAAACAAAGCAAGTGACACGCCTAATTCTCAAGTTCACATGATTAAAGCCGATTAAAGATTTTTGAGGAAACAAAAAGATAATTATTAAATTATTTTAATGGTTAAATTTCTTCTTTTTTTTTTTATAAGAAGCATGTCCGACATGATTCAAATATTATAATTAAACTTTCTTTTTCTTATATAATAGAAAATAAAAATTATATTAAAATAAATAAAGTTAAAATTATATATAAATCTATATACTACATATATAACCAAAATAAAAACATAACTTACAGAAAACTTTTAAAAGAAAGAGAAACATGGATTATTGAATTTATCACCAATACATCTATTAATATACATATGGATGCATTTAGTATTAAAATTTATTTTTAATAGATTTGTCCTCACAAAATAAATTTTAAATTCCAATATTGTAAAATCCTATGAAAAAGGCGAAAAATGACGTATAGAGAAAAAGGACAAAGGGAAAAGAAAAAATAATAGAGGAGCAGACCGAGCAGAGCAGAGTTTCTTTTGTCTCCCGCGCCTCAGGAACCGAGCCCTTCGTGTTTCTCCTTCAGTAAACCCCATATTGATTCTCCTTTGGTTCAAATTTCCGTCCCTATTTCGACTTTGATTTTGATTAAACCCCAGAAGTCCCTTCAAAAAAGACTGCAATTTATTGCTTATCAATGCGTTTTCTGTTAACCCATTACAGGGCATTTAGCACAAGAATTGCAGTATCACCCAATTCACAGATTTGTTATTTCGCTCGTCTTGGCCAAATTAAGAATGCCCGGAAGGTTTTCGATGGATTGCCTGAAAAGACAGTCGTTTCCTGGAACTCAATCATTTCTGGTTACTTTCAAAACAACCAGCACCGGGAAGCTCAGATTCTGTTCGATAATATGCCTGAGAGAAACATCATTTCTTGGAATGGATTGATTTCAGGGTATATAAAAAATGGGATGATTACGGAAGCTAGGAAAGTGTTTGATAAGATGCCTGAGAGAAATGTTGTTTCCTGGACCGCCATGATTCGGGGGTATGTGCAGGAAGGTATGATTCGGGAGGCAGAGGTGTTGTTTTGGAAAATGCCTGAAAGGAATGTGGTGTCTTGGACAGTTATGTTAGGTGGTTTGATTCAGGAATGTCGGATGGATGATGCATGTAGGTTGTATGATGCAATGCCGGTGAAGGATGTAGTTGCCAGGACTAATATGATTGGAGGATATTGTAAAGAAGGACGATTAAGAGAAGCAAGAGAGATTTTTGATGAGATGCCTCGTAGGAATGTGGTTGCTTGGACTACTATGATTACTGGGTATGCACAGAATAATCGTGTGGATGTTGCTAGGAAGCTTTTTGAAGTAATGCCTGAGAAAAATGAGATTACTTGGACGGCTATGTTGATGGGTTATACCCAGTGTGGAAGGATGGAGGAGGCTTTGGATATTTTTGAGGCAATGCCTGTGAAGTCGGTTGCTGCATGTAATGCAATGATTCTTGGTTTTGGAATGAATGGACAGGCAGAGAAAGCAAGGATGGTATTTGATAGAATGTGGGAGAAGGATGACGGGTCATGGAGTGCAATGATCAAAGTTTATGAAAGGAAAGGATTTGAATTGGAAGCACTCAATTTGTTTGCCTCGATGCAGAAAAAGAGAGTCAGGCCTAATTTCCCATCTTTAATTAGCATTCTTTCTGTTTGTGCCAGCCTTGCAAGCCTTGATCATGGTAGACAGGTTCACGCACAGTTAGTGAGGTTTCAGTTTGATCTTGACATGTATGTTGCCTCTGCTTTGATTACAATGTACATTAAGTGTGGTGATCTTGTAAAGGCGAAGCAAGTTTTTGATGGATTTACACCAAAGGATATTGTTATGTGGAATTCTATCATCACAGGTTACGCCCAACATGGGCTAGCAGAGAACGCTTTACAAGTTTTCCACAAGATGTTCTCATCAGGAATTATTCCAGATGATATTACCTTTATCGGAGTTCTTACAGCTTGTAGCTACACTGGGAATGTTGATGAAGGGCTCCAAATTTTCGAATCAATGAGATCCAAATATAATGTGGAGCCAAAAACTGAGCATTATGCTTGTGCGGTGGATTTGCTTGGCCGAGTGGGCAGGGTAAACGAGGCAATGAATTTGATTGAAAATATGCCAGTTGAAGCTGATGCCATTGTTTGGGGTGCTTTGTTAGGAGCATGTAGAACCCACAAGAAGTTGGATTTGGCTGAAGTTGCAGCCAAGAAGCTTCTACAGCTGGAGCCCCAAAATGCTGGCCCTTACATTTTGTTGTCGAATTTATATGCATCTCAAGGTAGATGGAATGATGTTGCAGATCAGAGAAAAAACATGAGGGCAAGGAGTGTCAACAAGTTCCCAGGATGTAGCTGGATTGAGGTAGATAAGAAGGTGCATATGTTTACTATGGCAGACAGCTCAGGCCATCCCGAGCATGCAGTGATCATGAAGATGTTGGAGAAATTAGCTGGATTGTTGAGGGAAGCAGGGTATAGTCCTGATGGTAGTTTTGTGCTGCATGATGTGGATGAGGAAGAGAAGGTGAATAACTTGAGGTATCACAGTGAGAAAGTGGCTGTGGCATATGGACTTCTGAAGGTGCCTAAAGAGTTGCCCATACGGATCATGAAAAATCTTCGGGTTTGTGGGGATTGCCACTCTGCAATCAAATTAATAGCCAAAATTACAGGGAGAGAGATAATCTTGAGGGATGCTAATAGGTTCCATCGTTTTAAGGATGGCCTGTGTTCTTGCAGAGACTACTGGTGATTGAAGAGCGTTAAGATTTATCAATGTCATCACTTTCCTCAACCTTTGGTGATTTTCCAATTTGGTATTCACTTCGGAGATCTATAAAACTTATTCTTCTTTTCCAAAAAGGGATTCACCCCTTTACATGTCATAGGCATATGACAATGCCAAAACAACAGAAATCCAAGGAATTATACTACTGTGACAGACGATAATGTCCGGTGACAACAGACATGGCAATGAGAATCCGAAGTTGTCTGTTCCTTTCAGTTAAGTAGGTGATATTGACAGGACCAGGCTTAGCAGAATTGAAAGCCTCCTTGCATAAAGCTACTAATCTTGAATTAGGCAGCTCATAATTAAGCATGCCTTTGTAATCTCGGAATGCAAAGGACCTCATAGCCTGAGTGAAAAACTGCATAATCAAGTTGTAATCCTTTACACATTCCGTAAGCACTTTTTTCACATCTGGATCAGTTGCATTTTCAGGGATTGACTGGGAATACACAAAATCATTGGATGCATTTTGTGCAGTTAGCTCAATTGTTGACTGTGTCAACCCAGCAAGGTCTGTTAATGGGGATTTGAGGTTGGCAGTGAAAGTTTTATTGCAGAATCCATAGTCCTCCATCTGTTGATAGACCTTATCAATTAGTTGTACTTGTTACGTTTGAGGATCCACTGTAGAGACAGGATTGGTGAAAAGGAAGACGGAGATGACTGGTGAAGAAAAGAAGAGAGTATAACAAGGAACAGAAGCCATTTGATGATGTTGGAAATGGTGGTTCAATGATACAAAGCAAGGAAGCCTATTTAAAGATCTTATGAGGCATGGCATTTATGACAACAGCAACACCATAACAGGGCATGCTGTATTTTCAGACCCTAAATTTCATGCTTGCCAATCATGGTGCATTTAAGTTTATGACAGAATCATGTCTTTTATGGCATGTAAATCTGGTGTTTGCTTAAGAAAGTAACACCCCTATGTAGAAATTTTTACTAAAAAATGTTCATATATAGGATAATATCTAGAGGTTAATGTAGTTCAGGACATACTCTTAATTTTTTTTTTTTTTATTTGAGGACTTGTCTACAAACTCAACTTCAAATTAATATTTTCAAAAATTAACTATTGAATTAAAATTTTATTCATGTAGGTTATGAATATCAATTTTTATGTTAATTTAATATTTATAATTCTTTGATAAAAAAAAAAAACTTTATTTATTAACATATATTGACATGCATGATTAGGCTTCTTAAATTAATTTGAAAATTAATGTGCATGAAATTTGATATAAAAATTTATATAATATTAATTTTAGATACTATAATTAATGAAACTTAATCTATACTCTTAAAACACAAGGTTAGAGAAATCCATAATTTAAATAATAGAATTAGTTAGGCTTCTTTTCTTTTTTTGAAAATAATAAAATTGGTTACTTTAAATATGTTTTTATTAGTAATTTATAATCACACAAGACACAACAACTAATCATCATATAACTATATATACGATTTTTTTTTTTT